GGCCAGGAGCGAAGGTCCTGGCGGACCGATTCCCGGCTACCAAGACTGGTAAAGTATAAAAACTCAATATTGTGCAAAAGTCTTAACCTGCTCAGGGTTTATGTATACTTTGCATAGGAAAGGCCACAGTTTCACCTACTGCGATATATTTTTTTGTTCTTTGGCCACTGGCTGATTTTAAAATTATTTTCAGTCCAATGCTGTACCAGAAGAGGAATGTTTTTCCAAACCCTGTTTTCACCTAGCAGCCATCCAAATGTGAAGTGTATTAGAGCAGTGTAGATATGGGTGGGTGACTTTAATCAGCTGTTGTGGGGTGAGTTCAGGGTGAGCTTTGTGGGAGCTGTGAATGTGCGACATGGCACTAAACAAAGCAACCACATGGTGCCTTTTAGAAAACCGGACTGCCGATAAAATAATGTCTAGACTCTGTCGATTCCATAAATGTAATTTTCCTACTTGATTTACAATTTTGCTGAAACTAATTGTAAGAGGAGCGTGTGCTCCGAGGAGAGTCAGAAACACACCAGGGTAATAAGAGTGATATTGGATTTTTCATAAACACAGCTCTCCACTGGAAGCCAGGGATGTTCCTGACGTCTTAGAAGACGAAAAGAAAAGAAAAACAGACTAACTCGTCTAAAACTAAGAAACACTCAGATATTATGTTACATTTGGAAAAACCGTTAAGTAAACATGCCAAAAACTAATAACATTTGAACAACTAATCACATTCTTTATACCTGGCATTGTGCATTATGAGCATTACACACTATACTGCAGACAGACACCCAAGAGGAAAAACACACAATAAACTGATGTCAAACATGAAAACATGTTACTACAAAAGATGTTTGCATATTACTAAAATATGACAACAAATAACATTTGAAGCGTGTGGCACATGGTGCTGTGCGTTATGATTGATGCATGCTGTTCGAAAAAACATTTCAATAAGAAATCCTGCAGCTGCTTCCTTCCACTGACCTGACGTCGGGTAGTGGGTGCAGCAGCAGGGATGCTCAGACCTTCCTCTCACCGGCTCCACCAGCTTATCCAGGGAAACATGAGCGAAGCTAAATAAACTCAACAGGCATATTTTGACCTGTCAGATCATTCAAGTAATAACTTCAGCTTATTTTCAAGTTACACTTAATTATAATTTCAACATGATGATGTCTTAACACCAGTTTTATTAATAAATACTGCACTTGATACTTTTAAGAACTGGATTTTAACAGTAGTCTAAAATAATCTTCTGTGATTCATTTTATTAAAGGACAAAATGTTGTACTTCCTGCAAAGAGGCCCACGTTTGTGTCGGACAGAGGGAACACAGGAGGTCTCACCCCCGTGGGAAAACCAGTGACCACCTCATTGTTTTTAACCCTCGGGTTCACATGTTTCAGCTTGGCGGCTCAAGGACCAACAACACGAGCAAGACAGGCCCGCAGACTGGTGCTAAGGCTAATACCTGGC